GCAGGTCCAAAAGTCTGCCAGGACTGCAAATCAGAGGGAGAGGCAACTTGTCACAGCACACAGCACATCTGCATCTTGGGAACACTTTCCAGTTAAGGTGGCATTCCTCTCATCTCCACTTACTTACCCACCCAAAAATGAGGAGTATTGACCATGTTAGCAGGCTAGGTTCCTTTTAAAGTCAATGAAGACAAAAGTTCATATTCACTCAAATCCAATCCAACACCATCCTGAAGGATATATGGATGGGTATAAGTACAGCTGTTCAGGTTGCAGGAGCAAGTCTATTCTACCTGTTTCTTGACACCAGGATATGAATTTATCATCAGTCACAGTGAGAGTAGAAACAGAGATAGCATCTGCTAAAAACTACCCAAGCATGAATATCAACATACAGAAATTTCAGTGCTGCAGATTTCAATCTTATTCACATACTATGATTGATAATGGAAAAACTTCTTACCACTAAAAAGGGTATTATTATGACAAAGCTTTAAAAGATACAGACAGGTGTAGTGAACAGTGAACTAACATTGAATTGAGAGTCAATCCACAGGAAAATATGGAAATTACTGAAATCCTGTCTGTGGTCACAATTCAAAGCAGTTTGCGCATGTCTTTCTGGAAAAGCATTTCCATGACTCTAATAAATGCTCTATTTTTTTACAATATCCTTTCTAATTACAATGAAACAGTATCAAAGGTTGTGCAGATTCAATCTAATGCTATCTAGCAGGCAGTGGAATAAATACCAGAGGAAGCAGCAGCTTCATTTAAGCTAGGCTGAATAAAGTATGAAAGTATGTGTTCCTGTGTGTGTTTGGAGCTCTGGCCTTTCCAGCTTTGCCTTCCCCAGCACAACTGGCAGCCTGCAGCTGTGGTGCCTCAGTGCAGGCAAAAAGCAGCTCCGAGGAGAGCCAGTAAATCCCAGCCCAGCTTCAGGCTGGTCTGCGACTGTCAAAAGCGAAGGGCTGTCAAAAGTCAGGGTTGTGCCTGGATCTTCAGCACCCCACAGAGGCACATGGATCCAGGAAGGCCAGTACCCACTCTGCTGCAACTCAGTAGATGATTCCTTCTGGTTCCAGCAGCAAATACTTCTTCATGGACAGGGGGATGGAGAGCAAGGGAACACTTCGGTGGCACCTTTCTGACAGTATTGCCCGAATAGCACATCTGCATAAATGCATGAGCGACCGTGGTGAATTGCTGCACACAGTGAACAGAGAGTCATAGAAATCCTTGTGCCGCTGTAAAAGAACACAAGCATGTTTTAGGGCAATAATGCTGTTTTCCTTCCCTCCCTTTCCCCTGCCCATATGCAGCCCTTGACAGAACAAGGTTAAAAGCACAACCATCCTGTGCCTTGGAGGCACATCAAGCACAAGGGACTTGGTTTAGAAAAAACCTGCACAAAATTCTTATGCTTGCCTCAAAGATTTAAGTTAAGTGTTAAGTGTTAAGTTAAAGTGTTAAGCTAAAGACCGCAGTGAAATCTTTAGGTTTGGTACATCTTATATCCACCAGTTGGAGATGGGGGTTCCTGTGTGCTGTTAGTTCTGGCCTGAACTCTCAGGGTCAGTGCATGTGGATGAGTTAATCCTCTAAACCTCACTGCGGGCAGCGAGGCAGCGTAATGCCAGTGTTACCAATGAGTTCTCTGGAGCTGTGAATGGCAAAGTACATTTGGTGTTACTCATTGCCCCAGCAGCCTTTTAGAGTAAATAAAATTGTACTCCCACAAGGAGAAAAGTGCAGATGCTTGCAAATGATGTTGAAACAAAAGCAGCAAACAGTAAATACATGTGACTATGTGTAACTTGATCATATTCTATAATCTTACTACTTGACAGATCTGGTTACACATATTTTCTGATACCCTTTATAAATGGAAAAGTATGAATTTGTGTCAACAAAAAGTTTTCTTCAATTTCATGTCAAATTCAGCAAATAACTTTGACAACTAAAATGAAAATCTCAACAAAGAAATAGAGCAACTGTGGACTTTTCCAAATAGGAATGTTCCAATATTTCAGATTAGTTTTTTTTATTTGAAGACAAATTCTTCTTCTTGTTGTTGTAATTAAGGTGAAAACAAGACATTTCACTTTTAATTTTGTGTTCCCACGACTGATTTCTTTTTCCTTCTCTTCTTTTAAAAAAAATAATAATAATTCTGACCCCCAAAGTCTCATAGTTCTTCTCGCTACGTAAGTCTGCATTATAATATGGATGGAGTTCCCTAAACATTACTGGTGATGTATAGCAGGTATTGGTGCACTTAACTTCAGCACTGATTTGAAAATTTTGAAAAACCCAGTATTAATTAAAAACTAGGTTTAAGCTGGAATATTGGCACTATGAGGATTTCTGAATTAAAGGGATAATTGTGTCAAAGCATGCAGTTTGTCCCACAATTTTGCCTTTTGACAACATCTTTTCCTCTTTGATCTCTTACTTTTCATTTAAATTCTCCCTCGTATTTGCAGCTAACCAGTCCTGCTTACAAAACCCAACCCATTCAACAGAACCTAAAGATACATGGTCATGCCTGTGTAACATGGTACTTCTAAAGTATTTTCTGATTTAAAAAAATATAAATATACAGACCAGAAGAAAGACCAATGACAGCCAGAATCTTTGCACTTGCTGAGTGCAGGACAGGTGAGCTCCTGCAGCACTCCTGACAGTGGCTTCCATAGAATAATGTCCCAATGAAAATGTCTCAAAAATACATCATTTGTGAGTGAGTGATACGCTTTTGTCAAGTGAGTGATATTAAATGAGGAAGTCCTGAATCCTCTGCGATGCTCTTCTCTTTCAAAGGCATTCTCGCTTTTCTGTGGCGGGATATGGAGAATGCAAATAATGAGCTTGGATTTTACTTCGTTAACTCATTAAGAGCTTACCTCAAAGACGTCGTTAGGTATGGCTGCTTTCCACTTCGATGTTGATTTGATATGTTCATAAGTATTGACAACAACCTCCACAGCTCTGGGGTTGGAATGACAGGCTTGTAGCACCTGCAGGCAGGGTGGAGAGAGACTGTGAGTACCACCAAGGAGCTGGGCCTAGCCTGGATGCTTGGCACTGTGCAGTGGCATACTGAGGCAGACACTGCCAAAGAATTACAAGCAGTTAAGGCTGGAGATGCAAAAGACACAAGCCCTCTCTACACTAAATGCAAGTACAGCAAGAAACCCCAGGTTGGCCCTCAATGGAGCTGTACACAACCCGGTTTAACACCATAGAGAAGTATTGGCTTAGCTCTCCGGAGCAGCATAGTTTGCTGACAGCGTGTGCTTTATCACCCAGATCTGGAGATAACTTGTTCATATCTGGGTTGAGAGACTCAACACCAGGCAAAGCCATGCACTAAGTCCTTGCTTCAGGTCGTGCAGCACAGGAACAGAAAAAAAATCCCATCATATGAATTAAAAATACATATTTTACAGATAGGCAAATGATGGTTTGGAAGGGACACCCACTCTGTACAACAGGAGAAAGGTGGCAGCAGGAAGAGGATGCCCTCAACCTGGTTCTCAGACAAGCTCTAGGGAACTAAGTGCTGCTCTGTTACAGATGGGGCAGCTCATACTGCATTTAAGAGGGCACAACCAGAAGTCTGGTGTTTTACTTAAAGGTTTCGGGTTGCTCAGCTTGTTAAAACTTTACATATGCAGTGGAGGAGCTGCAAGATGTTGCTCAGGGCACTGGAAAATAGATAATAAGTCCTGACTAGGGCAAGCTTACTTAGTTGTCTTGTTATCAGACTGTCAGATACTTCTGTCAGTGCCTTCGGCTTTGCAGATGTTTAGAAATTCTCTGGGAGGAATCCTGAAGTTTATTTTACTTTTTTTCATCTTTTCCATCAACTATGAACCCAGGCCCAGCATTTTCCCTTAGTTTCTGATATTTCTTGGGAATAAGCCAAAGCTTTACTGAAATCCATTTGATTTTGAATAGATTTGAATAGATTTTTAAAGGTCAGAAGTGACAAACTGAATCAGCTAGTTCGATCTCCAGTCTTCGGTAGATGCCATGAAATATGTATTTTATATAACCCAGTTAAGCTTGTGTGGAGCCAGATTTGACAAAGGCATGTAGGTTTTCTGAAATGAGAAGGTGAATCAACTCTAAAAAATTAGGATCGAACTGGCATTTAGAGTTTGGGATTTCAGGTTGGTTAAGAATAAAAATGGGATCTGTATCTTGTTTCTGGCATTAACAACTATAATTTCACATCAGTTAAATGATACCACTCTTACAACAGGTTGGCTCACAAGGTTTTGAGCATTCTGGGCCCCCAGTTTACAGGACTCCAGCAAATCCAGATAGCACCAAACACTGAAGTTTGGATCTCATCACATTCCTGTTCAAGATACCATCTCTCTCCACACCCCTACTGTTTCAAAGCCATCCTTAACCTTGTGGAATTGCAGAGGATATATCCTAGCTGCTCCGT